TTAAAAAAAAAAAAAAAGAATAAATCCAAAATTTTGTCATTTCAAAAGTGGTATAAATAAAATCATGCAGTATGTAACATTTTGACATGAGTATTTTCCTTACTCAGCATAATTGCCTGAGCATTTATCTGAGTTGCTGTGCGTATCAATAGTCTGTTCCTTTTCATTGCTGAGTAGTATTCCTTGTTATTGACGTGCCACAATTTGTTTAACCCGTCACCTGGTGAAGGATAGCGGAGCTGATTCAAGTTTTTGTCTATTCAGATGAAGCTGCTATGGACATTCATGTATAGCTTTTTACATGAATATAAATTTTCATTTCTCTGAAATAAATGTCCATGAACGCAATTGCTGGGTCATATGACAGTTGCATGTTTAGTTTTGCAGGAAACTGCCAAACTCTTTTCCATAATAATCGTACCCCCTATTTTATAGCCACGCCCCCAAGCAACAGAGAAAAGCCCAGCTTCTCAGCACCCTCGCCAGCCCTGTGTAAGTTCCTTGTATTGTATGTCGTATGTGGTAACCCACTTCTTTGGGTTCCCAGTGCCTTGCATGGAGCACAGCACAGACTAGCTACACCGCAGACGTTTGCTGCTCTCAACCATATTTATGTCAAGTCTGAAACTGGCAAGGAGAAATGGCGAGGTGGGGTCTGCCACACGGGCCTGGGATGTCACGGACAGTAGCTTTGCCATCTAGCCTTGTTCACAGGCATGATGCTGTAAGTAGCCAGGAACGGAAGGCGGGAGATTTAAACCCCTCGGCACAAAGCTGAACTGTTTAGAAAGGACCAGTGCGACTCTTTCAGTCCTGTGCCACAAGTTCTTACTTTGTAAATAAAAAGAAAAATAATAAAATGAAATCACCCGAGACATGCAAGGGTGTGATAGACACTGAGGGAGAGACCAGGAAAGATGACTCTTTTCCCATTTGATGTCCAACTTCTTCCCCTCTCCCGCCTTTTTTCCTCTGGGCCTGTTTCATTTCTACCCTATGCACCATTTTCAGCCCAGTCTGACTTTAACTTCACTCTTTCACCTTTTTTCCAACTGATTTTCTTTAGTGAAACTTTCTTTTTCCTTGAACTTTCAGCTCTTCCTTTTGGAACTGTCTCTCAGTCTGTCTTGTTAATCCTCGTGAATTAATCCGAATTTAGGTTTTAGAGGGAAATGTTCCCGACGAAATCCAGCTTCAGGGAATAGAAGTAGGAAGAGCTGCTGAACAGTTGCAACTAAAGGCCTGTCGACTATTGTACTCTACACTTTTCCATGTTCCCCAGGATCCTCTCTTGACACAAGATCCCTCCCAATACCCTCACGTTCCCTTTTTTTCTGTCACAGCTTCTCTGCTTCCCCCTATAGATACTGAGCGTCTCTTTCACAGTGCTGATCCCATTTAACCTGTCATACCGTGCTTTGTCTTATTGCATCTTTGAGATTATAAATTTTGAGGGGAGTTTCATAAAGAATTCATATGCAAAAATGTCTTATCCAACACTGAATGATTACTGAAGAAACTAACTTATAAAAGTAACACACTGTTAACTTCAGTTTTAGCAAACCTTTAAGATCATAAAGTGCCTCTGCCCAAAGCATTTTCTATTACATTTTTTTAATTTGGTGAGCAATAAATGAATAATTAAGAGTTAATAATTAATAATGATTCTGTGCAAACCTTAGACAACATAGCTCTTAAAGACTTTATATGGGTAAAAAGGAACCTGTAGAATTAAAAATAATGTATTCAAAGACCTCTTGCAATCTTCTGACAAAGTTAAACTCAACTCTTATCTACAGCAAGATGCGATGTTCTTTCTCATTTCAGTTCACCACAGTGGCAAATGTAGCATTTCAGACACTGTGATTCATTCCAGATACAAGTTCTGAATAGAAAAAGACCAAGGTCAGGGCATTATTATTCTATGTGGCATCATGAACATGGTTATGTATTGGGGTTTCAGTGGGGTTTAGAGGGATAAAGCATAACTAGACCACCGTCTGTGGGGAATAGGGGCATTTCAGTGGGAAATCAAAATGAGCTTGGAACGCAGCTTCAGCATCCTCAAGCAAGCACAACATTTTACTATCAAAGGCTATAAGAAAACAGCCCTCTCTCCCCCACGCCTTTGTCCTTTGGGGTACCCATCTGCTCCATGTGTTGGCCAACGCTGAGAACATCACTTCTCAATGTTGTCTATCATTTTCTTTCTTAAAATCTTCAACTATTAGAAGTAAAAATAATAGCATTCAGAGTTTCAAAACGTGTGTGTGTGTGTGTGTGTGTGTGTGTGTGTGTGGTTTCCCCATAAGCTCAGAAATAAACCTGAAAAATAAGAACCCCGGGTCCAGGGGAGGCAGGCTCGTTTTAAAAGGAGTCAGCGAGGCCCAGATAATCGGCACGTTGTTGGATGGGGTGTGCCCACTGGCGCGGGATCTCACGGGGAGAGGCTGGACATTCAGGATGTTTACGAGTAAAAGTAGAAGGTGGAAAAAGTAGAACACACAAGGCCCAGTGTCCTGAGAGTCTGGCCCGAGGGCGGCCCAAAATAATTACGGCTGAAGGAGCCGTTCTGTTCCAGAGCGTCCTGGTTCAAAGAGTTCAACAATGCGCTTAAAAATCATTAACGATAAAGAAGCCCATTTAAACACATAAGTAGGCCATACGAAGCTACTTATTTACATGGACGATATCTGCCTTGTTCGTCTCTTTGTTTGTTTCCTGCTCCTACCAGGTTGGCCAGCATCTTATAAACAGGGCCGCGGGGCGCGGGCCGGGGCTGCTCCCTCGGGCAGCGGGACGTGCGCCACCGGCACCGGCGGAGACATGGGAGGTGACATGCGGCGGGGGCGGGGAGAATTAATTAGCAAACAAGCTTCTCGCCAGCTGCGGCGGACGCCCACAAACTTGTCTTCATCGGCTCCCCGACAGGAAAACCAGGACTGAGCCTGTCGGCGGTGAGCGGGACTTGGCCAGCGCCGGGCGGGGCGTGGGGTTTGGCGCTGGAAGGTGACAGGGGGCGGCACCGGCCAGAGGGACCGGCCCCCGAGCCCCGGAGGCGGACGCGCCGAAGNGCACCAGCTCCAGCTTCTCGATCCTCCAGACCTGCAGCCCCGCCTTCTTGCCCGCGCGGGCGAACTCGGGGTGGTACAGCTCCTGGGCCATGGCTGGCGCCCGGTGCGGCGCAGAGGGGGCGCGCGACCTCGGGGACCCCGGCGTCGCACTGCACCGGGAGCGGCCGTGGGGACGGGTT